GGCATCCAGCCAGCCGAGTGCTGGCATCCAGGCTAAGCAGATCTGGCACTACCATGATCAGCAAGCCCAAGGTGCTGCCCACCAACCCAAACCAGTCATAGCCGCTTAGTGGGCGGCTCTCCACACACAGCGCCAGAAGGGCTGAGCCCACAGTGGAGGAGCCCTTGCGCACGGTGGCGGCATTGCCACTGGGCAAAAGGGGCCAGAAAGCCAGCCGGCACCCCGCCCCCGAGCAGCGCCACCAGCAGTCCCTTCATGCTCTCTGACAGGCGGTAGCGGCGCCAGAGCAGCCAGCGGGCTGGCACTGCAGAAAGGGGCCAGAAAGCCAGCCGGCACCCCGCCCCCGAGCAGCGCCACCAGCAGTCCCTTCATGCTCTCTGACAGGCGGTAGCGGCGCCAGAGCAGCCAGCGGGCTGGCACTGCAGGGGTGGGGGAGCAGGGGCGGGAGGAGCGCAGCAGGGTGGCCAGCGGCCAGGGTGGTGTGCTGGGCGGCGTCATGGCGATGGGACCGGCAAGGGGTAGCATTCACACCGTGGCCTGGTGAAGGAAGGAAGGGAGGTCAATGGGAGAGAAACCAGATTATCTGTTGCCCAGGGATCATCTACAGCATCCCCCTCTTCAGTTGGTCCCATCTACCGTCATCCATCCATTCTTCCATTTGCCCTGTCCTTCCATCCCCCTCCACCCATCCCTCTATCCTTCCATCTGCTCCTCCATCCATCCCTTTGTCCTTCATCCCATCCATATGTCCATCCCCTGCACCCTAGCCATCTGCCCTTCCTTCCATTCCATCCCCCTCCAAACATCCGTCCTTTCATTTGCTCTTCTCTCCATCCATCCATTCATGCCCATCTACCCCATCCATCTGTCCCTCTAAACATGCCATCCATCCATCTCCATCTATTCATCCCTCTTCTCCATCTACCCCATCTGTCTAACCCTCCACCCATTTTCCCTCTGTCCTTCCATCTGCCCCATCCACATACCTCCGTTGCCTCTGCTGTCTCTGTACCCCTCCATCCCTCAAGCAGGTGCCTGACTCTTTCAGGACCAGGAGGGCGGGGGCCTCCACCAGCCTAGTTCTGGAGAGCCAGAGCTGGGGCAGTCGACCGGGGGGGTCTCATCTGGGGGATAGCAAGGCAGAGTCCACGCTAGGTGGAAGTCCAGGTCTGGGAGGGGGGCCACCAGCTTTAGGGGTGTAGCCAAGGAGTGAGTAAGTGGAGTGGCTGGGCCCTCATGGGCTGTCAGGATCTGGCCCATCTGTGACCTATGACCCCACCATGCAGGAGCAGGAAGGTGCAAGAAGTTATTGCCCCATTGCGCTGACCATTACGCCTTGGGGTAAGAGCTACCAATGGGGCATGTCTGGTCATCCCAGACTGGAGCGGCCAGTCTACAATTCTCCCCTACCTCATCCAGCCCATCTCCCAAATCTGTCTCTCCCCATCTACGCCTGCCTTCCCCCATCCATCTGTCCAGCCTCATCTTCTTCCCCCTGTCTGTCTGTCCTTATAGACGCACCCAGCACCCAGCCAGTCCCTTACATAGCCCTGACCCTGGCTGTCCATCTAGCAGTCCTGGCTCCCAGCGCTCCTCCTCTAGCCCACCAGCCCTGCCCTCCTCCCCTTGATGGGGAGAGAACCCAGGAGTCCTGGCTCCCAACACCTTGCATTCACTAGCCCCTGCTCTCCTCCCAGAGCCAGGGAGAAAATCTAAGAGTCCTGGCTCCCGGCCCCCTGGCTCTAAAACACTGGGCCCCATTCCCTCCCCCATGCCCTGCTCAGAGCCAGCCATGCTTGCAGTTGGGGTACTGGCCTTTAGCCCAGACCAGGTCTCTGGTCCTTACCTCGGGCTGGGGTCCAGACCTGTCCCCCCAGCACTTTGGTGTGAATCTCCCAAGGGCAGGACTAGGGCAGGTCATACACAGCCCCCCACCTCGCTCCTTGGCACTCCAGGAACCATGAGGTCATCCACCCAGCTCTATGACATCATCTCTGCTGTTGTTGATGTCCTGGCTGGGCTTTAGAGAGCTTGCAGGGACAAGCTGTGTGTGAGCGGACATTGCAGGAGTGTGTTTGTGTGTGTGTGTCTACACATGCGTGTGCAAACTAGTCTGTGCGAGAGAGGTGTGGGCCAGTGTGTTGAATGTGTAGTCAGGCCTTACATGAGATCGAGGGGGCGGGAGCTAGGGGGAGGAGTCATCTAAGCTAAGTGTGTGTGATCTAGGCTAAGTGTGTGTGTGTGTGTGTGTGTGTGTGTGTGTGTGTGTGTGTGTGTGTGAAAGAGAGAGAGAGAGCGATCCAGGCTTCTGTTTGTGTGATCTAAGGTGCTGAGTATGATCTAGGTGTGTGTGTGTCTGTGTGTATGTGGGGGGGAGGACAGATTTGATGAAGTGAACATGCGTGAGGGCCGACCATTTTGCCTGACATTCTTTGAACCATTAAAATTAAATGCAAATTAACTATTTTATGCAAAGTTTATTGCAAACGGCAAACGACATAACACCAACTATACATGTTGGGCTCGTCTACACTGGCCCCTTTTCCGGAAGGGGCATGTAAATTTCATGAGTCGTAGTAGGGAAATGCGCGGGGGATTTAAATATCCCCCGCGGCATTTAAATAAAAATGTCCGCCGCTTTTTTCCGGCTTTTAAAAAAGCCGGAAAAGAGCGTCTACACTGGCCCCGATCCTCCAGAAAAAGCGCCCTTTTCCGGAGGCTCTTATTCCTACTTCAAAGTAGGCGGCGGACATTTTTATTTAAATGCCGCGGGGGATATTTAAATCCCCCGCGCATTTCCCTACTACGACTCATGAAATTTACATGCCCCTTCCGGAAAAGGGGCCAGTGTAGACGAGCCCTATGTGTGTGAGATCTAGTCATGTATGTGCCTGAGACAGAGAGGGATTCAGGCCTCTGTGTGCGTGATCTAGGCTTGTGTGTGAGTGTCTGTGATTTAGCCTCTGTGTGTGAGATTTAGGTGTGTGTATGTGCCTGATGTAGGCGCGCGTGTGTAATTTATGGTTCTGTGTGTATGATCCTGTGTGTGTGATCTAGGTCTATGTGTGTGTACATAGACATGTTCAAGCTAGTGTATGCGAGACAGGTGTGTGTGTGTGTGTGTGTGTGTGTGTGTGACTGCTTTGTGCATGTTTGTAGTTCACGTAGACACAAACATGCACCAAGAGGCCTAAGTCAGGGTCATAGACGTCTGTTTGTGTGACTGAAGGGTGGGGAAGCTCTGTGCCTTTCTGTGTGTATGCTCGCACACGTGATCTAGGCCTGCGTGTGTTTGAGATTTGGTGGGGCAAGGGAGGACATGTGATCCAAGCCCGTGTCTCTGTGAGGTGTGTGTGTGTGTGTTTTATGACCTGCTTTTGTGTGAGATTTGGGGGATACATGTGATATAGGCCTGTGCCTGTGTGAGATATGGGGGGTACATTTGAGCTTAGACCAGGGCCGGCCCGAGGTATTCTGGCGCCCCGAGTATGGGCGCATGGCACTGCCCCCGGGTGCACAGTGCAGGAGTGGGCCTGCCCCTAGGGCGCACGGCGCAAGCGTGGCCTAGTCCAGCCCGGTTATTGCTGCTGGTGCACATGCCAGGCTGTATAGGGCCCCGCGGGCCAGCAGCTCAGGGATGGCGGGGGGGCCGGCGCTGCGGGAGCCGGGCGCGCGGCGCCTGATGGTAGCTGTAAGAGATGCCACGCGCCCCTTACAGCTGCCATCAGGTGCCCCCCATCAGTTGGTGCCCTGGGCAGCTGCCCGGCTCGCCCATGCCGCCATCCGGCCCTGGCTTAGACGAGTGTATGTGAGAACTCGGGGGTATGTATGATTCTGGTCTATATGTGTGAGAGATTTGGGGAGTATGTGTCATCTAGGTCTACATGTGTGTGAGATATGGGGGGTACATATGAATTATGCCAGTGTGTGTGTGAGATTTGGGGGGTATATGTGATCTAGGTCTGCGCAGTGATGTCTGTGTGTGTGACAGTTCTAGGTCTGTGCGTGTCTATGTGAGAAAAATTTACACTTGCATGCATAAGACAGAAAAAGACAGTGGAAAGTATCCGTGTGAGAAATCTAACTCTCTTCGTCTGTGTGCGTGTAGCCCTCTTTGAGTGTGCGCATCTGTGTTTACTTAGAGACACGCAAGCACACACAAGGCAGCCTAGATCACAGAAGTACAAGACGATGCACGTGACCCCTGTCTGTGCACGAACCAGGCCTCTGTATGTGTGTGTGAATGCATTCTATCCAGGCCTAGGGGCAAGGGGAGAGTGCGCATGAAGAACAGGCGGGGGGAGAAAAGGAGGAGGAGTTGCATTGTATGCAACAGAGCAGTATGATTGTTTGGAGCTCCAGTACCTAGAGGGAGAAAAGACTGTTGAGAGTCTATGGGTTAAATTTAGAGGTGGAAGCAACAGGGGTGATGTTGTGGTTGTGCAGGGCCCCACAGCTGTGGGGGGAAGGGCGCTGCTGGTCGGCACCGCGGGACCCTGCACGGCCTGGCGCATGCGCCAGCAGCACTGGCCAGGCCAGGCTGGGCAGCGCATGCACCGTGTGCCCCAGGGGTGGGCCCCAAGCTGCGCACCAGCGGCCATGGCCGGCCCGCACATGCACCGTACACCCTGGGGGCGGGCCCGTTCACCCTGGGGGGAGGCGGGCCTGCACCCCACGGATGAGCTCGCGCATGCGCTGTGCGCCTGGGCCAGCTTTCTTCAGCCAACTAACAGAAGCTTCCAGTTCACAGGTCCTGGTTCTCCTTGGGGACTTCAATCACCCTGACATCAATTGGGAGACCAATATAGCAGTACACAGACAATTCAGGAAGTTTTTGGAGAATGTTGGGGATAACTTCTTGATACAAGTGCTGAAGAAAACAATCAGGGGCCATGCGCAGCTTGACCTGCTGCTCAGAAACAGGGTGGAACTAGTAGGGGAAGTAGAGGTGGGTGACAGCCTGGGAAGCAGTGATCATGAGATGGTAGATTTCAGGATCCTGACCAAAGAAAGAAAGGAGAGTAGCAAAATACACACCCTAGACTTCAGAAGAGCAGACTTTGACTCCCTCAGAGAACTGATGGGCAGGATTCCCTGGGATGCTAATATGAAGGGGAAAGGAATCCAGGACAGCTGGCAGTATTTTAAAGAAACCGTATTGAAGGCACAGGAAGAAACCATCCCGATGTGCAGCAAGAAAAGAAAATATGGAAGGTGACCAGATTAGCCTCGTGGAATGAGGTTTACCGGAGCAGTCGACAAAGGCTTCCGTTGTCAACCACAGAGCGTTCAGACTGCCCTGCTGTGCCACCAAACAGCTGATCGGCACAGCGTGGCGGCCATTTTGATGTAAATGAAGCAGCGATTATTTAAAATGCTGCTTTATTTCCCTATGTCTAGTAAACTCATCTACATGGCTCCATCGACGGAACCATGTAGTCTAGACATACCCCTAGTGACATGATGTGGGATAGGCTGAAATACTCAATACTTTCTTTGCCTGTCATCACGGAAAAAGTCAACTCCTAGACAAATGCACTAGGCAACACAATATGGGAAGGAGGTGGACAGCCCTTGGTGGGGAAAGAACAAGTTAGGAACTATTTGGAAAAGCTAAACATACACAAATCCATGGGCCCAGATTTAATGCATCCGAGGGTACTGAGGGAGTTGGCAAATGTCATTGCAGAGCCTTTGGCCATTATCTTTGAAAACTCATGGAGATTGGGAGACATCCTGGATGACTGGAAAAAGGCAACTGTAGTGCCCATCTTTAAAAAAAGGGAAGAAGGACAATCCAGGGAACTACAGACCAGTCAGCCTTTCCTCAGGTCCCTGGAAAAATCATAGAGGAGATCCTCAAGGAATCCATTTTGAAGCACTTGGAAGAGGGGAAAGTGATCAGGAATAGTCAACATGGATTCACAAAGGGCAAGTCGTGCCTGACCAATCTGATTAGCTTCTATGATGAGGTAACTGGTTCTGTGGATATGGGAAAGTCAGTGGATGTGATATACCTTGACTTTAGCAAAGCTTTTGATACGGTCTCCCACAATATTCTTGCAAGCAAGTTAAGGGAATATGGATTGGATACAAGGACTGTAAGATGGATAGAAAGCTGACTAAACCATCAGGCCCAATGAATAGTGATCAACAGCTCGATATCAGGTTGGTGGTTGGTTTCTAGCGAAGTGCTCCAAGGATCGGTTCTTGGACCGGTTTTGTTAAACATCTTTATTAATGACCTAGATGGGGGGGAACAAGGACAAGTGTAGAGTCCTGCACTTGGGAGAGAAGAATCCCAAGCATTGGTACAGGCTGGGGATTGAATGGCTAAGTAGCAGTTCAGCAGAAAAGGACCTGGGGATTACAGTGGATGAGAAGCTGTATATGAGTCAGTGTGCCCTTGTAGCCCAGAAGGCTAATGGCATATTAGGGTGCAATAGGAAGAGCATTGCCAGCAGATGCAGAGCAGTTATTATTCCCCTTTATTCAGCTCTGGTGAGGCCACATCTGGAGTATTATGTCTAGTTCTCGGCCTCCCCACTACAGAAAGGAGAGGGTCCAGCAGAGAGCGACCAAAATGATTAGGGGACTGGAACACATGACCTATGAGGAAAGACTGAGGGATTTGGGTTTGTAGTATGCAGAAGAGAAGAGTGAGGGCGGATTTGATAGCAGCCTTCAACTTCCTGAAGGGAGGTTCCAAAGAGGCTGGAGAAAGGCTGTTCTCAGTAGTGACAGATGGCAGAACAAGGAGCAATGGTCTCAAGTTACAGTGGGGGAGGTCTAGGTTGGATATTAGGAAAAACTATTTCCCCAGGCAGGTGGTGAAGCACTGGAATGGGTTACCTATGGAGGTGGTGGAATGTCTAACCCTAGAGGTGTTTAAGTCTCAGCTTGACAAAGCCCTGGCAGGGTTGATTTAGTTGGGATTGGTCCTGCCTTGGGCAGGGGGCTGGACTTGATGACCTCCTGAGGTCTCTTCCAGCTCTATGATTCTATGTGCAATCCAGACCGCTGTGTGTGTGATCCAGGTTTCTGTGTGAGTAGACAATGTGGGTGCATACACACTAGCCATGCTGCTCTCTGTGGGCATGTCTACACTAGGAAATAATTTCAAAATAAATAATAACTCCCAAAATAGCAAAATCGAAATAGCGCGTCAACACTACAAG